TAGAACCGCCCATGGTGGACACGCAAACAAAGAGAGGAAAGTAATCCATACATTTCTGAAATATTCCTTCCATTTTTGCCCCATTTCTGACCAAAGCATGCACAATTAAATCAAACAACTGACAATAAAACAGCCACCAAAGCTTCAATCTAATTCAGTCCTACCTAGAAGATGTCGGATCCTGAAGAAGGTGAATTTCCTCACAGTCAGAACCATCATCAACACATTTCTATTTTTAGAGCATCTCTAAAAATGGTGCATGACGTCCTGGGGCACGGCGCGCGCGGTATATAGCTGCTGTCCTATAGTCTCGTGCGTGTGAGCTCCGTTTACATTAATAAGAACTCTGCTTTAATTCGGATTCGGATCAGTCGCACGCAGACACATATATATATATTAAAAAAAAAAAAATCCAGCGCGAGGCTAATTTTAGATCCGAGGAGCCGAGAGATGCCAGGAGGATGGAGCTCCATTCACAAAAAAATGTCTCCCCTCTCTCTCTCTCTCTCTCTCTCTCTCTCTCTCTCTCTCTCTCTCTCTCTCTCACAACTCCCACCTCAGCCTCCACACACACACCCTTTCTCCGCCCCCTTTATTTTTCATCTCTCTTTCATGGTGCTGTGCACGCGCAAACACGCACTCACTTTCACCGTCAATGACTGCAAACCGGGGAAGGTCACCGGCTTCAGCACCACAGAAACCGGAGTAACTTGAAAAATGTTATCCGTTACAATTACTAGTTACCTATGAAAATAAAAAATATAACCTATAATTCGATTAACAAAATATAACCCGGATTACTTTCCGTTACCTTTGGACTACCTCACTGTCAAATGCCATGCAAATGAATACAAAATAAATATGATGTTTTTGTACTTATAATGTAAAATAACAGAACAATGTGACCTTAAAAAATTAAATATTTAAGATTAAAAACGTGTCCTCTTTTAGGATACAGAATAGTCTGCTGATTTAGTTTAATATATTAATTAAACAGTTTTTTTGCTTAATAAATGAAGTGCATTTGAACAAATATATTTAAAATAAAGATTAAAAGTAGCCTACTGTAAGTGAAAACGAATAACCAAGCAGGCCTACGTCTCCCAGTCCCTACACAATATATACATTTTAAATTTAAAACGTATCGAAATCCTGCTTGTAGTCCCCTTTTTTGTTTAAAATGTAACCGTAACCCGCTTTTTCTTTTCTTCATGCAACTGTAAGGGAATACATTTTTCTAGTATCCTGATTACGTAATCCCGTTACATGTAATCCGTTACTCGCCGATTTCAGACACCCTGCTTGCATGCACCTGCTCATCCTGCAGCTCACATCTCAGCGTGTTTTAGCGAAACACAGAACAATAAATACCTGGATCTGTTTCATTCAGCTGCAGCAGTGCAGTCCCTAAGACGGGGGGGGGGAGGCAGGGAAAGAAGGGGGAGACCACGCCACACAGAGACACAACAAGAGAGGAATTTACCAGCTGCTTCTCCTTGTTTTTCTTCTTCTTCTTCTTCTTCTTCCCCCCTGCAGGAAACAGCTCTCTCGTCCGTTATCCTTCACTTTATGCGTGCATGTGTGTTTTTTCTCTCCCAGGGTCTCCCCCCTTTTCAGCGGCGCGCGCTATATTCCTCGGTTGGCATGGTTATTAGCCTTCTGTCGGCGGGTCCGTCCTCGCGCTGCACATCCCCGGCCCCTCATTGGACGAGCGTGTCATTCTCCTCGTCTGACGTCAGAAGTCCCCGCACCTCCACTCACCGTCATCATGGTCGGCGCGTGTGAATCACGGAGAGGGAGGATAAGTGAATAATATGTTCACCTTTTAGTGGAGGAAACTCAGCTCTGCTTTTATTTAGGAATATAGGTCGACTGTTGCCTACTATTTATATATATATATATATATATATATATGCTTAGCATTTACTTCCATTCTTTTTGACATACCAGCAGTGGTGG